ATTGATTGGTGATCATTAAACTGCTTTTAGTCACTGAGCCATGATCATACTAAGCAAACTCTAATTCACTGAGCCATAATCATATTATCTGATTTGATCTTATATTTCAATTTTTTATTTTAAAAAAAAATTTCATCTAATTTTGCATATTTATAGCTGAAGCTGCTAGGTGTTTTTTTGATGAGATAATACAAGTTGAAGTCAAAACAAAAAAAGGCCCTGCATTATTTTCTAAAGATGAGCATTCACGTACACAAACAACTATCCAAACATTATCTAAACAACCTTCCATATTTGTTAAAGATACTGGTATAGTAATAGTGGGTAATGCATCAGGTATTAGTAATAGTGTAAGGGCAATTATTGTAGCAAGTGAAGATGCTAATTGTTAGTTACTCTGTAACTGGTGCAGAATCTACTATTATAGGAATAGGTCCTGTACCGGCAATTAAAGAAGCATTAAAAAGAGTCAATCTTAAACTTTCAGATATTGGGCTAGTGGAAATCAATGAGGTCTTTGCTCCTCAATATTTATCTGTAAAAAAGGAATTGGGACTTGATCGTAATATCACTAATACTAATGGTGGTAAATATATTTGTATGCTATATAATTTATTTCTAAAATTTGTGAATCTTACCACAGTATTAACTAGACCTTTCAAATTTGTTTACTTCTTAGATGGTAAGTGTTTATTTTGATTTTAAGATTTATACTTTAATTCTTGTAAATCTATATTAATCTACTTTATGATTTATCCTTGTAACCATTGCTTTTAGACATCTTTTAGCTGCATTGGAATCACACATTTTAGGATATTTAACTTATCAAACTTCAAAAAAATAAAATAAAATATGCAATTGGATCCGCTTAATTGGTGATAGTCAAAGTAAGCCAACTATATACCATTCTTAATCTAAAAACTATCGAAATTTTATAAGCTCATAAATTTTTTTTTTCCAGGAATTGCTGTAATTCTTGAATGTGTTTGAAATTGTTGAAAAGCATTAGAAATTGATAATATGAACTTTATGTTCTGTTTATAGTATTATACGAAACTTTTTGTTTTATAGAAAATTAAAAATAATTATACTTATTATGTTATTGTTTGAAATAAGATTAGCTATTTGATTTGATAATAAATTATTTAGTACAAGAATTTAACTCGATAAAAATTTGGTTCCATAAAAAACAATGTCTGAAAATTGTCTTATTATTTAATTATTATAATTGTAAATAAAAATTTTTCCCACATTATATAATTTACCACATAAATCTTTGAACTCTGTCATTTTCGCTTTCCCAAATAAACCCATTCCACAAAAATAAAGACAAGGTTTTATAATTTATATATGTGTAAATTAGAAATTTAACAATTAATCTTTCTATACTAGATTGTTTACTATTTAGTCTATAGTATGGAATTATAAATATCTGAATTCTACTCCTATGATTCAATCTGTTTTTTGCTCTATTTCTTATTATAATTAACTTAAAATATTCAAATTGGGCTAAGTCTTTGCTTAGTAATAGAATGTGTAACTATACTATTTCATATACTATATTTTCTATATTTCTTTATACTGCTTTTAAAATTTATTACTATTATATTATGAACACTTTGGTCATATGACATAAAATGGCAAACACTGGTTATCGCAGCCACAGAACCTAATTATCAAACATAGTTTTGCACTAATATGATAACTGCAGAGCCTAATCATCAATGTGAGGTCCTGCACTATTATCACAGCTACAGAGCTTAATCATTAATATGAGGTTCTTGTGCCGCTATCACTATCGCAAGCACGACACTCAACATCAATATGGGGTTCTTGCACTGCTATCATAATCATAAAGCCTTGCATCAAACACAGACTTGCACTACTATTGTGGCTGCGATGTACAAACATCAACATGAGGTCATCGTACTACTATTACAGCCATAGAGTCTAATTGCCAAATATTAGATCTTTACTTCTGAAGCTATGGAATCTAATCACTAATATGAAAGACCTTGCACTCTATAATAGTTGTGGTGCGTAATCATAATATATAATCTTTGCACCTCCTTAATTTATGAGTCACTGAGCAAAAGGGTGGGTAAGGCAGAATGATAAAGCCAGCTACAAGGCGAGTGATAGTGAAAAGAAAGATACCTTTTCCTACTAACTAAAAGTCCTTAACGTTAAATAGCCTTGAAAACAAACTTGCCCATCATAGTAACTCATTTTCAGCAATCATATATTATCACAATATTAATCAGAAAATACTTGCATCAAACAAGATACAATAAAGACTATTATACAAAAACTCGTAAATATTAAAAGGACAAATTAAGTATATGATTTGATAAAGTCATCTGATTTCGCAATAATGATCGCTCTGTCACTTCATTAACAGACTTTTTAAGTTATCTGATTATCCAAATAATGGTTCGTAAATTTTTTTAACGATTGTTATGACCAGGGAAAAGATTTTATATCCACTGAGCCAATTTAGCTTAGGGTCGTAAGCATTAAAAGAAATAAGCTAATTATTTATTAACACACACAAGGCACCAAAAAGTACTAATATTACTAGCGATAAAAGTAAGTATCTTAATAAGTGTACCCGGTACTCTATAGTCCTTCAAAATATCTCTTGTTCCAACTCAAAGACCAAACTAAAATCTACTAACCAACTCTCAAACTCTAAAATCTAACTATATAGTTCCTATTTACAAGAATATATTGAATTAGACACAAAAGAAAAGTTTAATTATTAACTAGCCAGTATTTTTTTCTAGTACCCACAAATACTAGAATATAAATCAAATTTCGATATATTTACGCTCACTAGATAAAAAAATTTTTATATTATTAAGCCGGCTATTGATTTGTATCTAGGTATCTCATGATTTGCTCATCAACAAAGTGATGAAGCTAACTAAGAATAAAACTGCATTATAATTTTATAGAACATTAAGTATTTAAAAAATATTATTAACAAGTATTTATTTAATAATAACATTTAATTTATATAAGATAGTGATTAATTTAACTTCGTGATGAATAATATGAAGACTGGTATATATGGGAAAACTTTGCATTAAGAAGATTTCATCATTGGTTTCGCTATCGCCCGTCTTATTAAATTAGGCTGGCTTCATTGTCACGCCCATCCCACCCAAAAAGTTAGAAAGAGTACTATCTGAATTAGCAATGACCACACGATATAGAGCCTGCTTAGTATAATCACGGCTTAGTGTAGTGACTGCCCAATCAATTAAATAGATATAGGCATCATAGCTGCAAGGAACTTAATTGCAGCCCAATGACTGTATGAATTAGAGTTTGTCTCGTAAGATCGTAGCTGAGTTATTGAAAACAGTGCAATAACTGCTTAATTAATGACTTAAGTATACTGCAAGGACTATAAAATCTGGCATTAATAGATGTAAGGCTCTATAGCTACATAGAGTGCAAGGACCTAATTTGCAGCTCAATGATTATACTGCCGATCATAAGTAGTGCAACAAAAAAAAATTTTACTTAGATCGCATTATTTCCCGCAATTCTGGATGTATCCTTTTATTTTTTATTTTATTTTATTTGTAAATAGTATAGTATTCACATAAAAAAATCTTAGAATATATTAATAAAATAGATTTTTTATGA